CGCGGGTCGTCACAGGGTCCCCGTGTGCCTCATGCGTGCGTGTTGCAGCTGCTTCCTCCGAATTCTTCCCCCTGCCTCGCCACAAATCCTTTCGGATCCCTTCTGCCTCGGCTCTGAAGAGGTTTTTTTTCATGCTGAATGCCACGCTCTGAGGACGAGGTGAAGTTATAAAACAGAGTAGTGTTTCACGGATACTTGTGTTTTTTTGTTATTTTAATTTCATGTGAACTTCTTGGGGTTAGGGGCTTTTTGTGCACTGTACAAGCACGGTTAGGGAAAAACATGATGGTGCAGCATCTAAACACCGTTTCAAAGCACAGCAGAATGACTTGATCCTTGTATTACAGAGAGATTGCAAGAAGATTCCCAGCTGGGTTGTTGCAAACTCCAAGGAAGGCACAATTGAAGGTAGGTTTGAGTTTCTTGGGAGTTCAGGCTTCTTCTCTTTGCACCTGGGAACCATCTTTAATGTGCCTGTCATCATCCTTCATGGTCAGTATCTTGTTTCTACATGGGTTGATTATTTCCTATGTATATTAACTCCTTTTTTTTTAAGAATGACTTGTGTTACCCTAAGTTGAACAGCATGTTGCTTCAGTGTTGCACTTGCAAGTATGTGTAAGTAACAATAAGAAGGCTTGGTCGTGTGTTTCCACTACCACCTGCCTGAGCTCCTCAGAGACCTTCTTACCAGGCTCTGGTCTGGCATCCTTTGTAGTAGTTGATTGTAGAAGTCAGTCCATTGTGTGTGGCATTGTCTACAGTTGGCCAGCTGGTTGGTGGCCCTCAGTCTTAGACAGCAGCTTATTTCATATTCCGTTTTACACAGATGTAAGCAGAGAAGTGTCATGGCTTCTTTGTTGCCCTAGGATAAGCAGAACAATCAGGTAGCGGAGAGCAGCAATCTTTCAGTTGTGTTGTTTACCTGATGGCTAAACATTGTAAAGTCAAAGAATATTTGTGAAGAGGCTAAGGAGGAAATGCTGAGTGCCTTTTAGGTAGTGACCAGATTTGATGTTGTCATGGTTGAACCCCAGCTGGAAGCCAAGCACCACGCAGTTGCTTGCTCACACTCTCGTGGAAAGGGGGAGAGAACCAGAAGGGTAAAAGGGAGAAAACTCATGGGTTGAGATAAAGGTGGTGTAATAGGTAAAGCAAAAGCTGTGGATACATTCACAGCTTCCCATCAGCAGGCAGATGTTCAGCCACCTCCATGAGAACAGGGCACCATACTGCCCTTTTGGGGTTTGGTTTCTTGGTTACTTGAGAAAATGAAGACCATCACTCCAAACATCCTCCCCTTCTTCTTCCCCCAGCTTTATATGCTAAGCATGACATCAGATGGCGTGGCATGTCCCTTTGGTCAGTCAGGGTCAGCTGTCCCAGCTCTGTCCCTGCTCAGCTTCTTGTGCACCCAAACCTGCTCGCTGGTGGGTTGGTGTGAGAAGTAGAAAAGGCCTTGACTCCATGTAAGCACTGCTCAGCAATAATGAAAACATCCTTGTATAATCAACACAGTTTTCAGGACACATCCAAAACACAGTCCCAAGCCAGCTACTATGAAGAGAACTAACTCCATCCCAGCCAGAGCCGGCACAGATACCTATTAACTTGATCTGAGAAACTGCAGGTTATTTTCTTCAGGGCCAGTTGACTCAAGTCCACTTCAACTCCACAGTGGGAAAGGGTGTCTGTCTGAAGTCTTGAGTTCTAGGAAACTTGCAGTCTAAACAGAAATAAATGCTAGATAAGCAGCTTATTTCATATTCCGTTTTACACAGATGTAAGCAGAGAAGTGTCATGGCTTCTTTGTTGCCCTAGGATAAGCAGAACAATCAGGTAGCGGAGAGCAGCAATCTTTCAGTTGTGTTGTTTACCTGATGGCTAAACATTGTAAAGTCAAAGAATATTTGTGAAGAGGCTAAGGAGGAAATGCTGAGTGCCTTTTAGGTAGTGACCAGATTTGATGTTGTCATGGTTGAACCCCAGCTGGAAGCCAAGCACCACGCAGTTGCTTGCTCACACTCTCGTGGAAAGGGGGAGAGAACCAGAAGGGTAAAAGGGAGAAAACTCATGGGTTGAGATAAAGGTGGTGTAATAGGTAAAGCAAAAGCTGTGGATACATTCACAGCTTCCCATCAGCAGGCAGATGTTCAGCCACCTCCATGAGAACAGGGCACCATACTGCCCTTTTGGGGTTTGGTTTCTTGGTTACTTGAGAAAATGAAGACCATCACTCCAAACATCCTCCCCTTCTTCTTCCCCCAGCTTTATATGCTAAGCATGACATCAGATGGCGTGGCATGTCCCTTTGGTCAGTCAGGGTCAGCTGTCCCAGCTCTGTCCCTGCTCAGCTTCTTGTGCACCCAAACCTGCTCGCTGGTGGGTTGGTGTGAGAAGTAGAAAAGGCCTTGACTCCATGTAAGCACTGCTCAGCAATAATGAAAACATCCTTGTATAATCAACACAGTTTTCAGGACACATCCAAAACACAGTCCCAAGCCAGCTACTATGAAGAGAACTAACTCCATCCCAGCCAGAGCCGGCACAGATACCTATTAACTTGATCTGAGAAACTGCAGGTTATTTTCTTCAGGGCCAGTTGACTCAAGTCCACTTCAACTCCACAGTGGGAAAGGGTGTCTGTCTGAAGTCTTGAGTTCTAGGAAACTTGCAGTCTAAACAGAAATAAATGCTAGATAACAAGAGGCAAGACAGAAATGCAAAAACAGGAATTTGCACAGGGTTATGTTAGTAGCAGCAGAGATGAGAACAGGACCCAGGTCTTCTGTGGTCATTTGCTGTCTTATGAGAGGAGCTGAAAGGGCCCCATTGCCCTTGGGTTTTTTCAGGAGAACCTCTTTCTGTGTATGTCAGTAATACTGAGACCAGGGTTTGTATAGGAAACACTGCCTCATTTTCTTGGAGGGAAGTTGTGAGCTTCTGAAAATGGGGTTTTCTTCAGAGCTTTAGCCTGGATGCAGGATCTTGGGATCAAGTGTTTCAGCCACATCCACTGTAAAGCAACTCAAGTGCTTGCTCACACTTTCCCTGGCACGCAGCTCAGAAATAAAAGCTTTCCTCTGCAGGCACGTTTCCTGTCATGGCGAAGGAGGGGCAGGACGGCAGCCTGCTGGTGCAGCTG